TGGGGGTCCTGCCTGTCGCCCTTCCTCCCTCAGCCTAGGCTACCCCCAAAGCCCATCAGACCAGGCCAGGCCAAGCTGCCTGTGGGACTCCTGTGTCCAGCTGGGACCAGACAGCATGGGTACCACTGTTCCCTTCTCTTTCTCAGGGCTCCTGGGGTTCTACAGGGCAGAACATAACACCACTCCAACCCCACCCTCACCCCCAGCTAAAGGCTTGAATTTTCCTCTATCTCTCTACCTCTTCCCCCCCCCCCCCCCCCCCCAGGAAGGAGATGGGGTCAGCATTCTATGGTACAAAGAGGTGGCTGACCAGCCAGCTGCCTGCTGGCCGTGTGACCTTGGGCAAATCTCTCAGCCTGTTTTTGCTTCTAAAATAAGGGTCATCATTCCTGGGCTCCCTGGGTTAGCATTATGTGTGTGTATGTATATATGTGTATGTATACACACATACATGCATATGTATTATATACATATGTGTATATACAATGATTCCATATAATTATATAATCATAATTCCTGGACCGGGAAATGAGTAGGGAGAAGAAGTACTTTATCAGCCTCATCTTGTTCTTGGAAGGAGCCGAGCCTGGCCTGAGAATTCTGGTCCCTGGGGCAAATTGGGTTGGGGGTGGGGCTAGTGACCTGACTCTCCTTTGTGGAACAGTGGGGGATTGGAGACCTAGAGCTGGGAGCCAGGGTGTATGTGTGGATGGGGTGGGAGACGGTGTGTGTGTGTGGCTGGGGAGGGGGGGAGGGGGGGTTGGGGGGGTGGGGGTGGCCCTAGGATGGAGAAGGCTCAAGTGTGAACCAGGCACTGACTACACTTAGGGGAGAGGAAGGCCAGCAGAGTGTGACCCAGAAAAAGGCAATGAGGAGGGCAGAAACTGAAAAAGGTGTAAGGGGGAGAATGTGGTAAACTTCTTTTACTGAGAGGCCCTCTGGGACTCTTCTCTCCCTGCTGGCTTCCCCAGCCTCCGGGCTGAGAGCAGGGGAGGCCAGGAGGCTGAGCCAGGATGGTAGTCCTACTCTACTCCCTGGAAACCTGAAGACTATTGAATCCTGGAAAGAGAAAAAGAAAAAGCAGGGCAGGGGACTCTGATCTGCCTGCTGGTCCTGGGGGCTCAAGAGCCCCGGAAAAGCCTTCCAGGTAGGGAGGATGTAAAACAATTCCCAGAGATCAAATCCTGTAGAAAGGAGGGAGAGTCAGTGACCATGCTCTGTTCAGGTTAGCCACCCCCTTTGCCCCCTTTGCTCTGGGTCAGGACTCAGGATGTAGCTGGCATTAGTCAACAAACATTGATTAAGCACCTCCTATACTTTAGACACTATACTGAGTGCCGAGGATACAGAGGTAGAAGTCCCTGCTCTCAAGGAGATGGGGGAGAGAAAATGCAAACAAATATGGCCAGACAAGGTATAGATGGAATGAATTAGGAGTATTCAACAGAGAGGAGGCTTTAGCATTAAGGGGGATTGGGAAAGGCTTCCTATAGAAGGTACAGATTTTGGTTGGCCCTTTAAGCAAGTCAGAGGTGGAAATTAGGAAAAAGAATTCCAGGTCTGGGGGACAGCCAGGGAAAATTCCTAGAGTCAGAGATGGAGGGTGTTGTTTGAGGAATAGCAGGAGACCAGTATCTGTGGGGAGTTACTAGGGCATGGGGATGTCCAACGTGTCAGAAGATAAGAAAGGTAGGATGTTCCAGGTTAGGGAGGGCTTAAAAAGCCAAACAGGATTTTAAATTTGATTCTAGAGGTGATGAGGAGTCACTGGAGTTTAACTGATTGGGGCGGGGGGGGGTGTGTCATGGTCAGATGTGCTTTAGGAAGATCACTTTGACAGCTGAGTGGAGGATGGTCTGGAGTGAGGAGGGTTTGTAGACCCTGCAGCAGCTGGTGCAGTAATCCAGGTGTGAGCTGTCCAGTGTCTGCATCCAGCAGTGTCAGAGGAGAGAAGGGGGGCCTGTGTGAGAGCTGTTATGAAGGTAAACTTGACAAGACTCAGAAATAGTTGGGGGGTGGGGATAGAGAATGGTACCCAGGCTGGGTGTTTGGAGGATGGGGAGAACGGTGGTTCCCTCCACAGTATTAGAGAAGTTAGGAAAAGGGAAGGTTTGGGGGGAAGAGATGAGTTAAGTTTTGGAAATGTTGAGTCTAAGATGTTTATAAGACATTCAGTTTCAAATGTCTGATGGGTAGTTGAAGTTGCAAGACTAGAAGTCAAGAGAAAGGTTACAGGTTGTGGTCTGGAATCGTCTGCTTGGAAATGAGAGGTGAAACCGGAAGCTGCTGATGCCACCAAGTTAAATAGGGGGGAGGGAGAAGAGAAGAGGGAGAGAACCTCGAGAGACACCTGTGGGTAGTGGGTGTGACCTACATGAAGATCCAGCCAAGGAGACAGGAGGAGCAGTCAGAGAGGTAGGAAGAGAATGAGGGGGTGTGTGTCCTGAAAACTGGAAGAAAGGAGAGTTTCAAGGAGGAGAGAGTGATCCACAGTGTCAACGGTTGCAGACAGATCAAGGAGAATTCGGATTGAGAAAAGCCCATTGGAGTTAGCAATTAGGAGATCATTGGTAACTGGAGAGACACTTGATTTTCCCTAGGATTCGATGAAGGCTGATTTCCAGTGCCGCCTCTTACTTGCATCTCATTTGCTAGTCAGCAGTTCCCTCGGAAATTCCCATGTGTCTATCTTTGTTTTTCCAGCAGAATGTGAGCTCTTTCAGGGCAGCAACCTTCATTTAGGTTTTGTGTACTCTGGTCCCTCTGCAATGAGAGCTCTTGTTTGATTGAAATGAATTGGGGCTTGGAAAGGGAAGATGGTTCTTGGTTTGTGTGACCTCAGTTGGGTTCCTTTCCCTCTCTGGGCCTGTTTCCTTATCAGTACCAAGAATACTAAAGGGTTTCTAAGGTGTCTTCTAGCTCTAAATCAAGGGTAACATGAATGAGTTTATGAATGCAGGGCATATAAAACAAGACACAAGGAAAGAAGCCCATTGTAGAGGAAAAGGGTGCTAGTGTCGGGGATGGGCTGAGGTGGGAGGTAATGCCTTCATAGACCTGCTACGCGCACGTAGATAAGGAGGTAATCAGCCAAGGTAATGTACTGGGAAGGGGAGGGCCCTAGCAGTTGGGGGGGGTGGGGGGTGTCCAGAGGTGGCCTTCGGAGTAAGGCACAGGCTGAGAAAGGTCAAAGCTGGAGGGTTTCTCAGCCAGCTAAGCCTTGGGATTTAGGGCCCCTTAGCAACACTAGCCTTCTGAGGCCACATACCCCCTTCTCCCTCTCCCCCTTCCCCAGGGCATAGCTGATCTGGGTGAGGCACTGGGGAAGGGACCGAGCAGGGGAGGAAGAATCAGACTGGTTGGAGCAGATGGAGTGCCATCTTCTGACCCTGTGTGTGACTCTGGGGAGGTCATTTCACCTTCGAGTTCAGAGCAGCTCTGATTCTAGGTCGCAGCCCCAGGGGCCAAGCTGGCTGGTGGCTCCCTAGACCAGTGAAATAACTGGTCGCCTTTGGCTGAGGGGCCAGAGTCCTGAGCAGAGGGGATTAGCTGTCTAGAGGTCATCTCGCCCCAGGCTAGTCAGGAGGAAAACCTTCCCCACCCTGAGAGCTGTCCTAGGTCCCCCGTGAGGGAGTGAGTTCCCCGTCCTTGGAGGTTTTCCTGTGGGGGGAGGAGTGGTCACTCCTCCCGGAAGCTGTGGAGGGGAGCCTCAGCCAGGCCGGGGTTGGACGACATGCTGGGGGAGGCAGTGCCAATGTGCAGTCTCTCGTCCCCAGGACAGAAGGATCAACTACGGCTCGGTGGACTCTGAGGGCCTGGGGGGCTGTGCTGGGGGGCAGCCCGTCTGGGAGGGGTTTGTACAGCGCGCATTGGAGACCGAGGCTCCGAGAGCCAAGCACCACTCAGTGAGCCTATGGCTAACTCCATGTGGGGTCTGATGGGGAAAGGGTGGGGGGAGGGGGCACATGGAGGGAAGAGGGGGTCTGACCTAGTGCACGCAGCCCCTCTCCTCTGAGCCCATGGGGGGTTGGGGAAACTGAGGTAGCAGGGGCCAAAGGGAAAAGCAGGCAGGCAGGTCCAGGGATAAATGGGGAGATTAAATGGGGGAATCGAGGCAAGGCAAGCAGGGGGCCAATTATGAAAACCGAGACAGGGAGAATGTGAGGATGAATGGGAAAATGAGGAGTGGGTGTGAGTGAATGGGGAAACTGAGGCAAGGAAAACTGGGGCTCTATTAAGGAAACCGAGCCAGGGTGAACGGGGAAAGGGAGGCAGGGGAGCGGGGGCGAGGCAGTGGGGTTGCGCTCCCTCCCCCCGCCCCGCCTGGAGCCACGGCCCCCTCCCTCATCCTCTTCTCCCCCCCCTCCGCCCGCATCTCCCACGACCTCACTCTGTCATTGGCTGTCCACCCGGCTCGACCCGCCCCACCCCCACATACCGATTGGCCCCAGCGCCGTCTGGGCCCGCCCCCTCGCCCGCGGGCCGGGGTCGCGGCTCCCCATTGGCCAGGGCGGCCCCGCCCCCGCCCGTGGCCCCGCCCCTGGCGCTGTGAGGCCGAGGCTGCGTCCCCGCCATGGCGGCTCCCGCGGAACCCCCCGCGCCGGAGCCCGAGGCCGGGCCCGACTCCGCGCCCGCCGGCTCCGCGCCCACCCAGCCCCACGCCGCTGAGCCCGCCCCTCGGTAAGAGCGCGTCCCCGCCCCGCCGCGCGCCGCGCACGCCCGTAGCTAACGGTCCTGGCGCGCGCCCCCGGCCCGTGACCGTGACCCGCCTGTGACCGTGACCGCGCCGGCCGCCCCGGCCGCCCCCTCCGCCGCGGGGACAGGGAGAGGGGCGGGGAGAGGACCCGGCGCGGGGGCCACGCCCGTGGCCGCGGCTGTGTCCGGAGCGGGCCTGGCGGGAGCGGAGGTCTTCAGTGGGGGGCCCCAGGGCTCTGCCGCGGGCGGCCGCGCTCACGCTCGCGCTCCTCCCCCACCTCCTCCCGGCAGGGGCTCCCCATTGCCGCCAGGCCCCGGCCACGTCCCAGCTCCTCCCTCCGAGAAGCCCTTCCAGCCGGCTGCAGACCCTCCGTCCATCCCGCCCTCCGCCCCTTCCAGCCAAACTGACCTTGGTGTCGTCCCTGGGCTGAACCCACCATCTCCCCTCCCCGTGCCTTGGCCCTCGCCGACCGCCGTGTCCCCCACTTCCCTGCCGGCCCCTGGCGGCGTCTGACGCTTACTCTGTGCCTTTGAGAGCCGGGGGGACCAGGAGGGTGCAATGCCTCGTCCAGCGCCCGCGGCCCCCAACTCGTACTAGACTGTCAGCCCGTAGAGGGCAGAGCCCAGAGCCTGGCACACAGTAGGCGCCCAGTGCATGCCTGGGCACATGGAACTCCAGCATCCTCCAGGGCAGCTCCTGCAGCCTGGGCTAAGGCTCTGGTTACAGCAGAGTTTGTGCACTTTGCAGAAGCCCTCCAGCAACAGGGAGCTCATTACCTCCAGGGACCCCTGCCCTGCACACCTGGTGACAGTTCTAGAACCCAGGGGATCCAGGCCTCTCCCACTGCAATGCTGTCTCGCTGTTCTCTTCCCCTGAGTGCTAATACCCATCCCCTGAGGGGAGACTGGAAGGGAGAATGTGCCAGACCTGGGGGGGCAAAGGCTCATGCTGTGGATGGGGAGCTAACTTCGAAGAGGCCAGTTTGGGGAGGTGCTTGAGTGCACCCAGGGGCTTGGAAGGTGTTGGATTCCTGAGGGAGTCGGGAGGTGGTAAGCCTTGGGCTTTGCAGTTGGCAGAGCTGTCAGGAGGGCCAGAGCTAGGGGGGGTCACATGAGTAGAGAGGGAGGGATGGATGCCAGAGAGGTGGGGGAGGCAGGCGTGACCCGTCAGGAGACAATGACTCAAGCTGTGTGTATATCATTGCTTAGCAAGAAGATCCACATCATTCAGGAACTCCCAGTCTAACGGGGAAGGGGAGAGAGCCCCTGGACCTGGGGGTACAGTGGCCAACCAGATGACCTGGCATTGTCTTTGATGACAAAATCACATCTGTTTCTGATGTCAAACTCTTTCCTTTCTGGGTCTTCACTGGCTGCCACCCATAGGGCAGGCAGGGCAGCCTGGCTGAGGCAGTAAGACCCTTCTAAGGGTGAGGTGGGGCAGCAGGCCAGGCAGGTGAGGCACCAGCATTCCCCAGACCATGACGGGGACAGTTCAGGACCCTGGGCCCAAGAGCCTTGGAAATAGCAGCGCCCCCCAGACCACCAGACTGTGTCCAGCCCATTAAGGGAGAAATCACTGAAGAGAAGGGACCCACCTTCCTCCTCACTACCAGCTGCCACCATAGGCAGATAGACATAGGAACCCAAGGAGAGGCAGTACCCCCAGACCCCCAGTCTGGTGTGCTGCCCAGCCCTTATAACCATCATCCAGGGAGGCAGCTCCTATGGAGAGGGTGCCGGCTATCTTTACCACCTGCCACCAAATGCCATCCCCAGGGCAGGCGGGCCAGTCTGATTGAAGAGCTGGGCACCCTGAGGGAGAGAGGGGAAGTAACATGGGCCAGGCAAGTCAGTCACCAGCACCACTTTGACCATCTCTCCTCGGGCCCCAAGAGCCTTGAGAGGAGAGTGCTTCCTGCCTACTGCCCACAGCCATCCCTTTGTGGAGATGCAGCCTGGCAGGTGCCAGGTCTAAAGACCCAGAAAGGAAAGTTCTTGTCACCAGAGTCCTTGGCCCTGTCAGATGGCTCAGCATCAGAAACCGATGTCATTTTATTGGTGGAAATGACACTAAGAAGAGACCTGACCCTCTGCTTGGCCACTGCCCGCCAAGAACGAAGGGACCGTTTTGTCTGACGTGCAGCTGAAACCTTCCCTGGGGTTGTCTCCCCCATTAGACTGGGAGCTCCTAGGGGGCAGGAATCTTGCTTTTCTATATGTATCCCCAGCACTTAGCACACAGTAAGTGCGTAACAAATGCTCTCTTCTTTCATTCACTGATTCC